TCTTTGTTCTTGTTTCTTTTGCAGAATTAAGAGCACGTTTCCTTGTTTGTCAGATACATCACTGCTTGATGAAGCAAGGAAGATATAAATTAAAAATTTTAAATACATATCGCTGACTCCATGGAGTGGACATCCTGTATAAGCACTGAAAAGCAACAACACAATAACACTAAACTTTTAGGCATTCTTAAATGATCTGCCTCTAAAAGCATTGGATGTAGCATTGTGCAATTAGGTTTTTCCTTATTTGCTTCATTGTACTACCTGTGTATATAGTTTTTACCTTTTATGTAGCACATAAACTTGGGGGGGGGTGGGAGGGAGGGCGGGGTGGGGCTGAGGAATTGGCATGGGGGGGTTTCTGAAGAGCTTGCTTCCATTTAGAGCAAGGAGAAAAATAATTTGACTTGCATGAAGAGAAGCAGTTTTGGGGAAGGGTTTGAAATGTTTTCTTTAAAGATGTAATGTCTCTTTCAGTGAAAACTGATAATATTTCATTTTTTTAAAAAATCCAAATTTGAACACTGGTTGCAAATAATTTCTAATTTTTTGTACACGAAGCCTTTTCTCATTTGGGAGCTCTGATTCCGTTATGTAGTGGCAAATGGCTTTTTTTTTTTTTTTTTTTTTTTTTAAGCAAAAAGCTATCCTCCCTCCTGCCCCCAGTTTCTCTTAAAATTGGAATTTACCACTTAATTATTCAGCAATTAGGTAATCCTAACAGGTAATTCTGGGCAAATATCTGGGGTGTATGGGGGGAGTTCTGAATGCTCAGATTCAACCATCTAATTTTTATCAGGTTTGTTGAGAAGATTTCTTAATTTTCTTTGGATTTCAGGCCGTGTAGACACAGTCGAAATAATTCTAATACCTTGGTTATTTTTTAAAGATCTTTAAATAACTTCACATAAAAATAATGAAATAATTTTCATTTAAAGGTTCTCATTTTATTTGTTAATTGGCCCCAAGAAAATGGTGTTTTTAATGTAAAGTGCATATAGAGAAAAGCATACGTGGAATTACTGAAATGGATACTACATCTTTAAACAGTATTTTTCCATTGCCTGTGTTGTGTATGAAACAAAACCCTTTGAAGTGTACCTGTGTACATAACTCTGTAAAGACACTGAAAAATTATACTAACTTATTTATGTTAAAAAGAGATTTTTTTTTAATCTAGACCATATACAAGCCAAAGTGGCATGTTTTGTGCATTTGTAAATGCTGTATTGGGTAGAATAGTTTTTTTTTCCTCCTTCTGTTAATACGGCTGTGCTTAAAAGGTTGCATACTGAGCCAAGTATAATTTTTTTGTAATGTGTGAAAAAGATGCCAATTATTGTTACACATCAAGCAATCAATAAAGAAAACTTCCATAGCTATTCATTGAGTCGAACTGTAGTGTGCTTTACTAAGGTTTGAGGTATTTGACCTGGCATTATGGTCCTATTTATACAAATACAACATGAAGTGGCAAATATCTTGATAATTTAGGCCCACATCTCAGATGATGTTTATGTGGTTCTGAGTGTAATGCTGTTTTCCACTTAGTTCTGTATGAGTGAACAAAGCCTTAGACGTGGAAAGTGGAAAAGCCACATTTTCAAATAAATCAGATTGTCAGATCCCCATTAGTTCAAATACTTGTGTCTTCTAGGATATGTGTCCAGCTCAAACATTTTTACAGAAGTGTAGACTGTTCATACATTTGCAGGACTGAAAATGAAAGTAACATGGTGACTTCTCTAAATTCTGTATTTACACATGCAAGTGTTGTGAGAAATTAGAGCAATTGTTTGGACCACCTAGTCTACACCTCTTGTCCAAAAATATTTAGATACATGTCCTTTAGAAATCGGCATTCCACACTAATTTTGACAGAACAGGTATTCTTCAAACTGGTCATCACAAATCCCTCAATTTTGAAATCTGGTTATAATCTATACAACCCGAGACTGGTTAATGTAAATACCAAATCTGAGGGGTTTGGGCCCCATGTGGACATGACAGAGGTAGATATTTTTTACTTAAATTACAAAAATTTAAACAAGGTATTTTAAAATCAAGTTTAACTAAAAATGATTCGTGTTATTTCACATTCTCTTAAAAAATGTGGCTAAGGTGTAAAAGTAAATTTTTTTTCTAGGACTCTCCAAATGATTAAATCGCAAAAACTTGAATTTGGGTTAAATTGTTTACTTGAAATACTAGCATTTACATCATTGTACCCCCAAAGGGGCTCTAAACAAGACAGTTTCAGCTTATTTTGACCTGAAGCTGTTAAAGAAAAAAAAAAGAAAGAAAGGAAAGAAAGAAAAAAAGCAGAGTTGAGTCCTTTCGGCTGCGGGGAAGGAGAAAAAAGGTCCTTTGGGTGACTGGGCCACATCTTCCAAGTAGGTATTATTTTAATTAGAGGCTAAAGGTGTTTTTGCGATTGTATTCAAAACACGCATACAGGGTGTTTTTCAGGAAGACACGGAGAGAGCAAGAAAAACAATTCAAAATGGGGAGGAAGGAATGGAGAGTCAGGAAATAATGAAATAAAATTAGTTTCTCTGAACCAAAAAGAGTACTTTCAAAAGTATCTCTAACAGAGGGGGGGAAAATCCTCCTAACTGCTGCCTGTAGCCCATTTTCCTTCCTTCAAGCGGCATCTTTAATGTGAATTTTCAGAGACGGCGTTTTAGTAGTGCAGGGCCAGGAAGAAGTGGATGCTCGCCGCGCCTGGCACGCTCACAGGGACGCAGCCCCCAAGTCACAGGGTCGATCCCGTACACGTCTGTGACAACTCTCCAAGCGCGTCCCCGATTCGGAGCGTCCTCTCCGGGGCCCGGACGGCCGGCGCCAGCCTCCCCCCGCCCCGCCACCGCGGCCACTGCCCCGAAGCCCCGCTCCCGCGCACTCGCGGGGTCCGGCTGCCTGGCGCCCCGCGACGAGAAGCCCATCACGTCTCGCTGCTTTCCTGCCACTCGCAGCGCCCGCGCCGCCCGAGCCGCCGCGCGCAGTTCCCGCGCCCGGGGCGCCCCGCAGGCCGTGCAGGGCGGCTGCGCCCCGGCCGGCGCGCCGGCTTCTCGGGAACTGTCCTCCCTCATCACCTCTCCTCGGGGCTCGGAAAGGAGCGGAAGCCCCTACTCCTGCCACGGGCAGACCCTCTCCACCAAGCACCGTGCCAATTCCAGGGCGGGGGGGGGGGGGGATCTGAGCGAAGGGGCGAACCCTCCCGAATCTGCGGACCCTCCGGGGCTGCAGCCCGCTCCCACCCTCACCCTGGGCTCCAATGATCCGCAGCCCCGCGCATTTCGAAAGGCTTCCCGGCTCGCCGGCAGCCCGGGAGGACCGCAGCGGCGCGCGGGGGGCCGAGCGCCGCAGCCGCGTGCGGGGCCGCTTCCTCGTCTACACCCGCTTTGCAAATCCACCCCCCCCCCCCCATCGCATCCCCAGGAGTCCAACGCGGCGCACCGGGGCAGGGAAGAGACAGGAAAATGTGGGGCGGGGGGCGTGACTGGGGGACGGAGGGGCCGTGGAGGTTCGCGGGACGGGAGCGGGGCGCGCGGCCTTTCAGGCCCCGGTGCGCCCACCGCCCCGGCCCGCGCCAAGCGACCTTTCCCGGCGGCCGCGAGACGCCGCCTTCGCCATTTCATCTTCATCACTGTGAGCGTAGACACTTGTCTTCATAAGCTTTTTAGGACTGAGAAAGGTGTTTTAAAGCACGTCTGGGATCTCCGATCTGTTTTTCAGAGTGTGAATTTCCTTTTAAAATTTGGCATCTCTTTTACCTGGGCCACACCCTACGCCCGCTCCCCCACCTCCTGGCCGACAGGAAGGTAAAGACCCCGTCGGCGAAGCTGGGCAGGGGGCGGCGGCAGAGAAGCGGCGCCCGGGGTCAGGCACGGTCCCCCCAACCCCGCCTCACCCACTCGGGGGTGGGGGTGGGGGGAACCTCCCGGATCTCGGCTTCGTGGGGGTGGGGGTGGGGTGGGGTCAGCCTCAATCAGACCCTACAGAAGCGAAAGTATTTACACGGACACTCAAGCGCCAGGCCTGTCTCGCGTGGGGCGCACAGCAGGGAGGAATCAGAAAGCACAAAATTCAACAAGAAACCGATGCGTGTTGGGCGCGAAACGTCGACGCGCCCCGAAGGAACGCTAAGAAAGGCAGGGAGAAGGGCGCGCGGCCGGGGCGCGGGGCCGGGGGATTGCATCATTGCAGCTCCCCCTCCAGAAAATGGGCTCCGAACCGCGGCGACCATCATGGCGCTCGGGTCGGGCCGCGCTTCCCGCGCGCTTCCCCGAGCCCTCGGGCCGCGGGCACCGAGCCCCAAACGAGCTTTCTGCAAACGCTCCCCCCACCCTCGGGCGCCCGCCCCCCACCCCCCTCCTTCCTTTTGTGTGCCCGCGTTTGCGAGTGCGTGCGTCCGTCTGAGCGTGTAGGACTGGGGAACTTGGAGATTATTTTTCTCCTCTCTTTTTTCCCTCCCGTGCTGGTGGTTGTAAACTTGATTGGCATTGGCTGCGCCCACTGACCCCTGCGCCGAGTCCACCGAAAATTTAAGGTGGATCCGGAAGGCTCCAGCGTCTCGCGCTTTAGCTGGTTTGAGAGGGAAAGGGAAGAAAAAAAAAAAAAAAGCCCCAAACCTTGCGCCCTGCGCGTTTTCACGAATCCCCTGCGGTACCAGCCCCCGCGCCCGCCCCGCCCGCCTCGCTCTTCCTCCGCCCACCTCCCGCTCCTTCCCCATTGGCCGCTCGGTGCAGTTTGAATTTTTTTTTTTTTTTTCGGATGCTTGTTTGCTGGTAAAAAGTACGGTACCCCACATCGTGTGACGAAACCCGCTTCAGCACCCCAAGCGGGGGAGCGTTAGCTGGTTCTGGGGAGGCGGGTGGGCGGAGCATCTGTTCCAAAATTTTGCCCCCAAGCGCCGTTGACAGTGTGCAGGCGGGTGGGGGAGCGGGGGACCGCGGTAAACAAACCCGAGCGGCTTTGGCGGGGTCGGAGATGTAGTATAAAACGTTAATGGGTGTGCAGGGCGCGCCGTTTCGCCGGCTGCTGGCCAGAGGTGCTAGGGAGGCGCTGACGGAAGCCCAGGAGAGGATGCACCTTCCCCTGCCTTGGAAAGGTAGACTTGGGGGGTGTGGGGACTGGGGGTGAAGGTGGCTCAGAAAAGAGCATCTTACAACCTGGAGGGAAAAAAAAAAAAAAAAGAAAAGAGAAAGAGAAAGAAACAGGGGAGATGTAAAGATAGATCAGGTCTATGATTTCAAGTGCTACCCAGCCAGATTCCATCATAATTCAGCCAGTCGCTGTCATTTTTTATTGAAAAAATTTCAGGAAAGTTTTCTCTCTTTGATTTCCAGAGTGCTTTTGCATAAGGAAAATGTTAAAATAAAATTGAGGGGAAAAACCGAGAAAGGAAATAAGGCCTTTCAAGTGCCTTTTGATTTCTGGGTCTGGAAATTAATTCTTTTGATAAAGTACTTTAAGATTTAGGATATTGTTGGTTGTATTACGGGTCTAATAGAAACGATATCCTTCATTAATTATAACTCAATTATATTTTACTTTGCTGTGAAAATTTCAAAAGTTTATAATAACTCAAATTATTCTCTAAATCACTCTATTTTCATATTACTGAAACTAGCATGTATACATTTTTGGGGTCTCTTGCGGCAGTGTAGCTCATTAATGATCTTAACCCGACGTCCAGCCCCAGCCTTCAGTCTTAACAGTTCTTAACTTCCCCGGCCATTTTTTAGTTCTTTCCTCCTCCAGTCCTTTCTAGCCAATTAATCCTTTACTTAATTGATGTAAGAAACGCTTTACTTACACAACGTAACTAAGCTCGTTGGACCACCGTGTACCAACCTGCCTGTGCCCTTAGTAAGAATTTGTTGGAGTTAAGAAAGTCCCCAGATGGACTGGCTAGCCTCAGGAAGCAGTGAGCTCATCATCCCTGAAGTGTGAGTCAGGCACTAGTCTGGATGACCCCTTGATAAGGACATTATAGACAAGAGACAAATATCAAATGAGTGTGAGGACTAGTTACTTTCAAAGTCTGTTCTAGATCCTTGAGATATGGTATTTCCAATCTTGGACTTTCTGGATATTCAATAGATTAAGCAATTTTAGAAACTCTAGAACATTTCTTCTAGAGTTGTACTGTCCAATATGGTAGCCAGAGCCATATGGAGCTATTGGGCGTTTGAATGTGGCTTGTCCAAATTGAGATGTGCTGTAGCTGTGAAACATACACCAGGTTCCCAAGAATTAGTATGAAAAAGAATGTGAAGTATCTCATTAATAATTTTTGTATTGATTACATGTTGAAGTGATCATATTTTTGATGCATTAGGTCAAATAAAAATATTAAATTTAAGGGGCGCCTGGGTGGCTCAGTCGGTTGAGCGTCTGGCTTCGGCTCAGGTCATTATCTCACGGTTTGTGGGTTCGAGCCCCGCATCGGGCTCTGTGCTGACAGCTCAGAGCCTGGAGCCTGTCTTCAGATTCTGTATCTCCCTCTCTCTCTGACCCTCCCCTGCTCACACTGTCTCTCTCTCTCTCAAAAATAAATAAAAACATTAAAAAAATTAATTTTATCTATTTCTTTTCCCCTTTTTTAGCGTGGTTACTAGCCAATTTTAATTTGCATATGTGACTCCCATTATTTCTAATAGACATTGCTGTTCTAGACCCACTCTTAGGATCACTTGAAACACTGTCTTTGAGAGGGCTGGTTAATAGGACTAGCTGGTAACTTCCAATTGCCATCCTAACTTCCCAAAGCCCAAACTCAGCCTCTGGAAACTTTAAAAAGAATTTTGCCCACACCTAACACCTACTGTTTCATCTTTAACACTTAGTATTGGGTTTGAGCCCAGACTATGGAAGTATGGTACAGATATGTCTGATTAAATCTGACTTGATAACAGCTTTCCACATTATGTAAATAGAGACTGGGGAATCCAGTATGTTAGGTATGACACTGGAAAACAGTTTAGACCCCAATCAAAGCCTCCACAGGTAACTTTTCACTGCTTGTCACTCTTTAGTGGATGGGAAGGCAGGGGGCGGATGGAACAATGTTCTCATTCTGTGGATGTATCTCTAATGGAAGACTTGAACAAATGAAAGGGTGCTCCATATTCTTGGGTAGAAATATTCAATATGATAAAGAAGACAATTAAGTTTATTAAATCCTAGCAAGTTCTGATTGTCCAATTCCATTCCATTGTTCTGTCAGCTTATGCACTCAGGACTATATTAATTACTGTAATTTTAGGATATGTGTTAATTTCTGGTAGCACGAATACTCCACATCCAACCAGACCCTTTAATCTTCCTTTTTTCAGAATCTTCCTGGATGCTTTCGCTTGACTTTTTTTGCCATTTGGACTTAAAATGAATTTGTCTAGCTGGAAATATAATTCCTCCTGACATTTAATTTAAAAAATGGAGTGGGATCTTTATCTCATACTTTATACCAGGATCGATTCCTGGAGGATTAAAGAGTGAAGTGTAAAAACGTGAAATTATAGACACACCAGAAGAAACTTCAGAGGACTTTTAGAAAATATAATCTCAGAGCTAGAAAAGTCTTTCCATCTATGAAAAAGCAGAATCTATTACATATAATATAGTTACATTAAATGACATAAGAGTAAAAATGTTCTGCACGGCAAAAGCTTTCATAGCAAAGTCAGAGACAATGGCATGGGCTGATAGTTGCACAACTATATGAATATACTTAATGTCACTGAGCTATACATTTAAAAAATGGTTAGGGGGCCTGGGTGGCTCAGTAGGTTTAGCGTCCGACTCTTGATCGCAGCTCAGGTCACGATCTCATGGTCTGGTTTGTGAGATCGAGCCCCATATTAGCCTCTGTGCTGACAAAGCAGAGCCTGCTTGGGATTCTTAATCTCCCTTTCTCTCTATCCCTCTCCCACTTGCACTCTGTCTCAAGATAAATAAACTTAAAAATAAAAAATGGTTAAAGTGGCAAATTATATGTGTATTTAAATACATACATACATGTGTTTATACTTACATTCATACAAACACACATACATACGTATATACACACCCAACTACTGGAAACATGTTAAAGTCTGTCCATGCTCTGTCTACAGGAATCTCATACACAGTGTTCTATGAATCCTTTGTGAGACACGGGTATGGTGGTTGACTTTAGGCTCTGAAATCAGACTGCTTCGGTTTGAGTCTCAGTTACCTAACTCATAAGACCTTTCGCAAGTTACTTCACTTTTTAAAGTTTCTATTTCTTTGGCTATATAATGAGGATGCATTTAACTCTCTCCTAAGGTTATTAACCTATTCAGTGGGATAATGTATGCAGTACTTAGCACAGTAACTGTTATATAATAAATACTAATCATTACATATTATAAACCATATAATTAACAGAGAGACCCAGTTCTTATTTTGGATTCTCAAGTAATCAACCACAATCTGCTATATTAACCTTGTAAGTATATTTCTCAGTTTAAAAAAAAATGTTTATTTTCAAGAGAGAGACCAAGAGAGTTTGTGTGTGGGATGGGGAGAGGGGTAGAGAGAGAAGGAGACAGAGAGGATCCCAAGCAGGCTGCACACTGTCAGTGTGAGCCCCATGCGGGGCTTGAACTCATGAACCATGAGATCATGACCTGAGCCGAAATCAAGAGTCTGTTTAATGGACTAAGCCACCTCGGCACTGCTATTTCTCAGTTTTGATTACTGCTGTTACCACTCCTTTTTTCTTTTTAAGTTTTAAAATTGATTTTGAGAGAGAGAGTGGGCACGTACAAGCTGGGTAGGGGCAGAGAGAGGGAGAGAGAATTCCAAGCAGGCTCTGTGCTGCCACTGGTGAGCTGAACAGAGGCTCAGTCCTACGTGGGATCGTGACCTGAGCCAAAACTGAATCAGACACTCAACTGACCAAGCCACCCAAGCACCCTACTGCTGTTACCACTCTTAAGAAGAACATATTTTATTGAATATTTAATAAACAGAATTAATATATTGCAAAAAATAGTTAAAATGGTAAACTTTTTGTTATGTATATTTAACACAAATTTTTTTCCTCTTTTTTTTTTTAATGTTTTGTTTATTTCTAGGAGAGAGAGAGACAGTGCGAGCAGGGGAGGGTTAGAGAGAGAGGGAGGCACAGAATCTGAAGCAGGCTCCAGGCCCTGAGCTGGCAGTCAGCACAGAGCCTGACGCGGGGCTCGAACCCATGAACCGCGAGATCATGACCTAAGCGAAAGTCGGACGCTTAACCGACTAAGCCACCCAGGCGCCCCACACAAATTTTTAAAAAGCTTAAAAAATAAGACATTTGTTCAGTTTAGGGCCATCTTTAATTACCTCAGAAAGGACCTGGTATAGATTTGTTTGTGGTACTGAATCAATAACATACACATACATACATACACACACTCACTCACACACTCACACAAATACAATGGCAATCTGGGAAAACGTTCACACCCCATATACTGAAGGGCGAATTTCCCTGGTAAATCTAGAGTTTCTACAAATCAATGAGAAAAAGCAAACCAACATAAAAATAAGAAAGATATAAACACAGTTTTCCAAAAGGGAACAAAAGGCTTTTAAAATGTGAAAGCATGTTCAACCATAGTTTAAAACTATTGGGATATAAGTTATATACAGAAAATACAAGTTTAGGCAAATATAGTTGCAATTAGTATCACTCAGATACAAAGATGGCCATTATCCTTTTTTGATAGTTTAACCTTTCCTTCCCTCCTTCCATCCAAGGCTGGGTGATTTTTTTTTTTTTTCCAGCTTCATTGGTGACCAGAGAAGCAAAGAGTTTACATGTGTAGAAGCCATGACCACCTTTCAAATTCAGTGTAAAATTCCTCTCAGTCCAAACCTGCTAGTCTTTGGCTTAGTGCCATCACTTTTTTTTTCCCCCATAGAAAGCCTCCTGAATCAGCCTCTCTTTCTTTTTTTAACACTAGGGCTAAGTGGTTTTATTCCATGTTGGCAAGTTTGGTTCAACATTTGAAAATCAATATCACCTACCCTGTTAACAGTCTAAAGAAAAATCGTAAATCCTATTAGTTGATGCAGCAAAGGCACTTGAAAAAG